TAAAAACAGGTGTAGCTTTTTTTATACTATGGTAACGAAAGGGTTAACTAATACAGTTTCGAAAGCACTTTTAAAAAAATAAAGCGTATATCGATTAAAGAAATGAAATAAATTGAGGAGCAAAAGAAAAAAATGTATGGTTTTTGAAGTAAAACATGTTAGTTATTTTGGTAAGGGCATAAAAACTTGTTATCAACAAATTTCATCTCAAAAATCTGTATATTTCTAAAATATATTTCAACCGGCGAAAACCGGCCGGTGGAACTGCTTCAACCGGTCCGGACCGGTTTCGCCGGACCGGTTACAACTCTGATATGAAGTTTGTTTTAATAATTTCGGATCTGATTAAAATTCTATTGAACATAGTATTCAAATCATTGCACAACTTAAAAGTAACTTAATGGTTTTTTTTTTCGTACTATTATAATATTATTTTTCCTATTTATGTTTTGAAAGATGGTGAAGAAATATATCGATCAGAGCTTTTTAAATTTACTATGCATAATCAACGAAACCGAGATGTCAAACTTATATATATTTCTGAAGAATATACAAATGAAGATGATGACTTTTGTTTATCTTTTGATATTGTTCTTTTTCCTATTGCTATTCAGTAAGTTAATTTATTCTTCAATGTTATAGAAGAAAAAACATTATCACGAATCGAGATTGATCAACTTGAATGTAAACTACGAGAACATCATGAAACAGCAAAGCCTCCGATTAAGCAGAGCCAAATACTTGATGCAACATATCCAAATCTTTCTTGTGTTTGTCAACGATCACATGAATTTTTTCCTGGAATATCACATTTTTATTGTCCTAGAATTTCATCTTGTTTGATCATAAATATCAACAAACCATCATTATCATCATCTATTCAATGTCGGCCAACAAATAATCATAGTACAATAATAAAAACTATTACCAATTACCCAATAGCATGACTCAGAAGATCGATTGGAAGTTTTTTGCTAAGGTTAACTAAATTTTGAGCTGTTGATAGAACATATTTTTGGTCATTAGTGAATAAAAAAGAACAACAACAACAACAACGAAATGCTGAAATCTTTACTGAAGAAAAAGAAAAATTTCTCAAAATAGTAAGGTCATCCTCTATCGCTCAGAACATATCTATCCATAAGACATAAAACAACTTTCTAATACAATAAGCCATTGATTTTTTTGTTTGATTTTTCATATCAAATGACAATTTAGACAAGTACGTTAGAAATCATTTAGCATTTGAAATAATATGATTTCAATCGAATATTTTATCAATCATATTTGTCTTAAATCTATATGAAGTCTATAGAATATAACTAAAAACTATAAAAAATAAAAAATAAAAACCCTCAATACACAAATATCAAATTATAATCGTGAAAAAATTAAGTAAAATTTCAAACAAAAATCAAAATGAAAGTTAATATATAATAGTTAGATAAACTTCGAATAATTAAAATTAAATATTAATTTGATTTTTATTGTTGCTTTTTCTAAATATAAAAATAATTTATTTAATTTTAATTTCCAAATCGAATAATGAAATATTTTACTTCATTATTTTTTTCTTCTAATTCTTTGTTTGCTTTTTCAATAATTGAATTAAATTTACCGAAATCAATTTTTACTCTTGTAAGATCAGTAAGAGGCTTATTTGAATCATTATCATCTTTACCCATTATTTGATTTTTTTTGTCATTACCTGAATCTGATTTAGATTTTGATCTAAATTTATTTTAATATTAAAAAAAACAAAAGTATTCATTTTTGTTCATTTTACTTCATAGATGCAATTTTCAATGCTTTTACTTGATCATGAGCATATTCACTTGTGAATGAATCCTCAAACTCATACCATTCTTTTACGATACGTTCATTTTTGGGAATAATTTCTATGAAAATTCAATTAAAAATTATGAAAAAGTATTTTTTTTTTAAATTCATTCTTACTGAATACTTTAGTTCTACTAGTTTTTGGTTTATTAAAATAGTTTCGTCTTATAAAGAAGAAGAGCATACGACTTAAACAATATATATCATACATAAAACTTATTGGTGGAATAAATGGTGAACGTGCAAAATATTTGCGTGTAAATAAATATTGTTGTGAATGCCAAATTTGATGTGTTTCTTCATAAACTTGATCAAATCGTTTACTTTTAGAAGAGAAAAACAAATTAAAATAGAATTTCAAAAATTAAACTAGTTAACAAAATAAAAAATCATTCTACCTAAACATTGCAATAAGTAAATTAGTTAATAAAATATTAACAAAAATCATATGAATAGCAAGTAATAAATGATTTGCAATTGACCATCCAGCATTTGAATTATCTTTTCAATAGTAAAAAATAATCTATACAATATAATAATTATCTTAAATATGCATACTATCAAGATCGTCTAATTGGGTATGAAATTCTTCGTATAATAAATAGTAAACAGGATATATAATTTGACGAAAAACATTTCGACCATCAAAACTAGCATCTATAGGACCACCTGTTTCTCTGGTAAAATTGTTCACTTTTGGATAATAGACCATTGAGCGCGATGCAACACCATATGCAATCATAACTATTCCAATGATGTACATGAAAAATAAAAGATCATAAATCTACAGAAATAAAAAAAAACCAAAAATAAAATAAAACAAAATATATAAACACATTTATTGAATACCATTTTTTTAATAGCTACAAGATGTGGTCCAAGATATGGTATAACAATAATAAATGACATACAACGAAGCCACCATATTTCAAGATCAATAGCCATTACAATTCTAATGAATATATAAGTAGAAAACAAAAAGTTTTTAGATATCTCTAAATAAAAACGAATTCAGGTACGAATATTAACGAATGTAATTGTCCTCAAATGTCAAAGCATAGAATCATCAATCTATGACAAAAAGAAAAAACCAAACTTTTCTAATATTATTTTGATTTCTTCTGCCTAATAAGCATAGAAATTCTATCTTGTATAGTTTAACTAAAAATCTAATTAACACTACAATTTAAATAAAATCAAACAATTTATTGTTTTTTTTTCTAAACAGATAAAATTTCAATAGACAAACCTAGCTGCCCCAAAGTTATCTTCAGAATTTGCCTGTGTATATCGTAGAATTAATCCAATGTAGAAGAGAATAATTGCAATGACAGTCATTTGTTTAAAATGATTGCCAAAATAAGTTTTTGCTTTTCCTAGAAAACTTACATTATCTTGAGTAAAAAACTGTAATTAGAGAAAAAAATAAAAAATCAATAAGAAAAAAAAAAAAACTCCATTTTTAATCAATAATACGCACATAATGAATTTCTTCGATTAACATAAATGAAACAAGAATAATTGTGAATATTTCAGTCCAATGTATTGATGGAGTTTGAGTTTTTGGTGGTGAAAATTCGAACAGAAGAAAATATGAGAATAGTAAAAGAAAGAAAATATAAGTTATCTACAAAAAATTGATGATTATTTTTCAATATATTTTGTTCTTACATAATATACATACTAAATGATAACAATATTTCATAGGCAATGATAGATGAAATTTCACTAATCTATTCTTATAAAGAATGAATGAACGATCTGATTGTGATAAAGAACTCTGAGGGTCTTCGAGTAGACTCGGATCACCATAGTTAATACCATGCTCAAAGAATCTGAATGAAAAATATTAATAATTATCAGTTTTAAATCATTTCATGATCCTATATTTACTTACTTTGGTAGTAAATTTGAGTGTCTTCGCCGTGCCTAATAAATATAAAGATAAGAAACGTAATCAAGTAATTAATCGTATAATTTTTAGATTTATTATTCATTTCATTATATAAATATAAATGATTAGAATTTTCTCAAATCAATTAATTTTTCTATATATAAAAATTCTGAATATAAATTATGTTATGACTACTACATGTGAAAATATTATCTTCTTTGTATTTTGATACATTAGTAAGTCTTATATTGATTAAGACCTTATTGAAAAAGAATTCTATGATTTTCTCACATTTTTCAGTTTGATCTATTATCAAAGGCAAGAAGTCTGCTTCTATACTTTTCTAATAATGATTTAAAAGTTTTTTTTCTTCTTTCTTAACAAACATTACTTCTAACCATTTTGTTTTCTCGATATGCAACGATAACAGGAGCTAAAAGACCAAGCGAAATGATGCTAAGAAACCATTTCAATCGATCACTGTATGTTATTTGTTCTGGATGAAGTTTGTCAAACCAAATATTATTCATAGTTTGTACACAACATGGTGTTGCAATAAATAATTTATCATCCGCATCTGAAGCAACCTTTATAATAGATATTACGTTTTGTTTTTATTTCTTAGGAATTCCAAAAAATTATCAAACATACTTGAAGACAAGTAACATATCCATATAGTTCATTTCGTTGTAAAATAATTTCACATGCTCGATCAACATCCTCATCGTCACACTTATCTAGACAATCGATTGCATATTTTTCAAAATATTTTGCAGCTACTTCATAGTCGTCTTTTAATTCACCATATGATGCTGTCGAATGATATTCTTTTAAAATTTTTGTTGCAATCAATGCTGAACATATTCGATATTCCATAAATGATAAAAAGACTTTAGCCATATCAATATAATTCATTAGTATAGCCCATAAAAACAAATCCCGCATTATATATTTATGTTCAATTTGTTCTGATTTTAGAAACTGCTCCATTAATCCTTGTTTGTCTCGATACTCCCTTTCGTGTTGTTCTGTTTCAAAATAGAGCCGATACATATAATCACCAATAAGTTTTTCGAGAACAATATTAAGACTTTCAACACAATCAATATTTTTGGCCTTATTATTTTCGTCCTTCTCAAGAAAATATTTTAAATGAGTTTTATCATTATTCTAGAAAAATAAAGCATATATTATTTGTAAAAAAAAAAACAAAAAAAAAAAGAAATAATAATAAATTAATCTCATAACAATACTTGGTCATGGTAAAGTTCTGCAATAAATGTGGCATATTTAGATTTATTTTGAGACTGTGAATCTTTTGAAAAGAATATATCAGCTGGTTTAATTTTTAATTTGAGAAATTCATAGACAAATGTCGGTAAATTACTTTTTAAAGCTTCCTTAAAAAGTTTTTTTTGTCTCTAAAAGAAAACAATTAATAATATTTATACATATATAAAATTAATATAAATACCATAATATTATCTAATGAATTTTGAAAAATAAAGTCTTTTGCAATCTGAATACTATTCCATTTCATTGCTAAACGAAGTAATTTTGTTTTTTCTATTTTTCGTTCGATTTCATTTCTACGAAACATAATTTTAAAGTCTTCTTTATTGCATGATCGAGTATCTAATTTTTGTAATCTTTCGTTTTCTCTTATGTTTGCTAATTTTTCACGTGCTAAAAACAAAAGTTTCAAATTAATATGAAAACAAAAAAAAAACTCCATTCAAAATGTATTTACTTACAACAACAAATACTTTGAAAAATTTTTTCTGATAAATGAATATCCGAATTCAAATTAAATATAGTTAAATGAGTACGAATTGCTGGTTGTAGACAAAACATAACTTGATCGAGTAGTTTATTCATGTTATTTTGTTTATCATCGTCTAGTTCATAGTTGCCTTGTTTTTTGACGTTATTCGGATCATCATCCCGAAAAAAAGTATATTCTATATCTTTTTTCAATCGATCAATATAATTTTTAAAAATCTGTGAAAGTCTTAAATAATATAGATAAATAAATGAACAAAAAATAACTAATTTCTATATTTACTTTTTATTTTTAGAATCAAGATGATTCTGAATACGATTAGTGCCACTGTAAAATATAGAAAATTCAAATAAAAAAATAATACTAACCTTGAAATTCAATCTACCTAGCAATCGATTTCGATCCGTTTTCTGACCTTGATATTATAGGAGGCATGGTCGAACATTTTCCTTCGTATGATATAATAATTAATTCGTCAATTTCACTGACTACATTTTGATTTGTAACATCTTTGTCAAATTCTCTCGTAAAAAGTAACCAACGAGTAAGAAAATCAGCAGCATGACCACTACCCTATTTATTTCAATATAACAATTAATAAGAATATATATCCCTCGAAAGCAAAATCTGAACACAATATTTCAACTTTTTTGACACTTGAAAAGAATATTTTGAGAAAAATAATTATACCATTCGATAATGCTTGGAATTCTCTATCAAACTGTATATTTTGATTGTACATTGATTTTATCTTTTGAAAAATTAATCAGATGGAATGAAGACACCTTCATGTTCAGATTCCTACAGACTTGATTTTGTTACCCGAAAAATGTACGAGATAGGTAAAAAATTCAGGTTTTTTTTGTACAGCGTCAAGAAAACATCGTCATGTCATTCTAGAATTATTCTTGAACAGATCAATATAAGACAACACGAATTTATATGGGATGATGAAGAATTCCAAGCGCCATCAAATGTTATAATTACTTTTCTCAAAATGTCCCATCGAAGTGTCAAAAGAATCGAAATACTGTGTCTAACTTTTGCTTTTCATGATTATATATTTAATTCGAATTTCTTACACTAATAAGAAGAACAGCAATCTTCAACCTTAAATCATAATATATATTTTCTATAGTATTTTTATCACCTCCAACCACAATAGTAGCCACAGGAACTAAATATAAACAAAGTAAATCCTCAATGATCTATTTCTTACATAATTTTAGCATGTACATATATATTATTGCAAACTTATCAAACTTCTTTTTTTCTTCTTTTTTAAGCAGTAAGATCTTTCAAATTTCTATTGCGAGTAATTGATCATTCTAAGAAGTAAATGAGTAATGAAATATCCACATCTCTTAGTTAAAGAAAATTTGTCAGTATAGTTCTTATTTTACTCTCCCATTTTCATTCATGTATTCTATCACCTTGATTTATATAATCGACTTTTATTTGCTCTCTGTATTATTTCTTTCATTTCTCGCTGTTTTGTTTATTCTTGTTCTTTTCTACAGATGTTCGTTGAAGTATATATTATGCATCAATAAAACTTACACAACTCAAGTTGATCTACGCCAAAAACTTCAAACTTGCGGCTTTTTTATGCATTTTTAATCTTATATATTTGCAGACGATCTATTTTATTTCCATCACAGAATTAATTAGCTATGTTACATATTAAAAGAATTGTTTCACTGTTCAAGATCTTTTCGAAAGAAGACACATAATATTACTTTGATCTTTTCTACTATGGGATTATCTGTAACTTGATTATTGATCAAGTTTAATCAAATAGATCTTTTTTTTTTGTTTAAAACATAACACTTCTAAATTTTAATTCTTTTAGATAAACTACATAGATAAGTTTTGAAGAATTTAATTTTTGGTTATAATATAAAAACTTTGACATTTTTCCGATACTACAAAAACAAGATGAAACGTTTCATTTATTTTTTCTATATACTTAAAGTCAACAATAATGATATAAATGAAAGTAAATTTAGTAAAAAAAATACAATATGTTATATCTTGTGTTATGTAACAAGAAAGTAGCAGTGATTTCATTTCTGAAGTCTGTCAAGTTCCCATGCAATCTTGAAGCCCTATCTCAGACAACTCTTTTTTTTCAAAAAAAAACACATGGAGCTGAGTTTTTATCATGAAAAGATGCAATGAAGTTTCTTGTCTCAGAATGTCTATTGATTTTTCGAAAAAAAGATCAAATTTGAACAAACTTTGGCAATAGATTTCGATCATACTATCATATTTTCTAAGAATTTTTTTCAAAGTTTCTTAGTTTTAGAAAGATTGCCTTTTTACTTGCATCATCATTGAATAAACATTCTTATATGATCTAAACACAACAGATGTTATTAACTTACATTAGCTGTTACATGCTTTTAAAACTTTCACTTCCTTATGTTATTGAATATTTCATTTTAATGTGTTTTGTTTTTCGATTTGAATAAAAAGCAAATCATATCTGAACTAATTTACTATGCTTCACAAAACATTAGCTTTCAATCAGAAAAAATCAAATCCTTTCCACCCGATCCAAGATGTAAGCAATACTGTGAAACATAATCTTAGGCCCACTGCCTCCTACCCTTCCAAAGACCCTGACAGACGGCTTCAACGAGCCATCGAAAACCATGTATAGCTAACATCCGATTGGACTATGTATGAAATATTTGCTTGTTGAAGTTCTATATTCTAAAGTAAGCAATGATGAAGAAATATACCCTAAGATACATAAAGAAGAAGGCTAGTTTTCACCGGATTAGAAACAATATCTAGCTCATGTTTCATATTTTAATCCCACAGGAATTGCGCTAACAGCTTTTGTTTTCTTATTTTAAAAGAACAGCGAGATTCAGTGTGATCAAGTGACTTTTAGTTTGCTTATTTTAACATTGTATATAGTAAAATTCTATTCAGATCCTAACTGTACACTGACATTAACTTTAAATTTAAAAGTGCTCGAGCTCTGTACCTCTTGTGATGATGAAGTGATCATGATTCTTGCATAAATCATAAATATTTTAGTCTAAATGAACCATTCTAAGTGGAAAATCTATTGTGAGAGAGATCTTCTAGAAATATTTGAATTATAGCTTTTAATATATGTTAAAATCTCATGAAGTTTTCTGAAGTCAGCTGGTATTCTCTTAGTTTTAACGCACTGAAAATGTGTCAAACATCTTTTTATATTACAAACAGATATAAAAAATTTTAAAATGTGTTTATAAATTTCATCTTTAAAAGTAAAACCTTATAAATTGTCTTTTACAAATAAAAATCTATTCCATAAGACTTGATCAATAATAGACTTATAGATATTTAAAATATGATTAGACTTTTTTTGAAAAATCTTCTATGTAAAATTCGACAAATAATACACATACCAAAAACGTCGTGTTCATTATCTAGTCTTGCCATGTAATTGACTAACTTCGATCGAGTATCTTGTATATCATCATAACCAACACTACCATCATTCAACATGAGATAATGAGTGTGATGCATTTCAAGATTCCATTGATCATCAGTATGTTCTTTTGATATACTCTTCTGAGTAACAGACTTTTCTTCAGCATTTATCTGTAAAATGAATCATAATTATATTTATTAATATTTTTCTTTTTTTCTTAAAGTTACACCTGTTGTATGTCTTCTTTTTTTGGATGTATTATTTTTTCTACATCTGCTATGCTACCCCATTTACAAACACCAATAGCCGTAATAACATATTTCTTATCAAAATTCAATAATTTAGCTTTATGAAGTGCTTGTCCAACAAGGTGAACAACACCATAATCATATCCATTAGTAAGTATCCATGTATCTTAGAAAAACAAAAAATAATCAACTATCATAATAATAGAAATATTTCATGATATACCTGATTTTTGAATTATATTAACAATACCATTTATGAAATTTGTTTCAAGTTGATTACTCATTTTAACCAATTCGGTATTACCAAGAATTGATACAATACATGAAGGTTTTGGAAATTTCCAGACATCAGAAATAATTTTTTCAATTTTTTCGCATGGTGTATCCAAAGCTAATCGAACAAACTAAATCAATACAAATGAAAATTTAATAGAAAATAAATGAATATCATATCATATACATGTGCACCACTTTGAACTAGACCATAATCATAATGAATATGTTCTCGAGTATTATTTTTCATAGTCCACTTAAACTTCAGTTCATTTGATTCATGCTCATCTTTGGGTTGTTTACATACACAAATACTTTCTTCATCATCACTGAAGCAAAAAAACGAAAGCATATAGAAAATCTTCATGAAAATAGATACTTGATTCGATGTCGATTATATTTATAACAAACTCGACAGAGAATATTTAATTCTGCTATGCTATCATCTGGAGAAAGTTCTTGTTCAGACTAAAAATAAATAGAGAAAATTTAATTTAATATTTTATAAAAAAAAAGTTATTCATTTATACTTGATGATAGTGAAATAGACGAGATCTATTCATTGTTTTTATTTAGAAAAAAAAACTAAAGTCTTAAATGAATTCTTGTTTGTTAAAGTTAAATATGATCTTCTAAAAAGATTTTCTTGGTGTTGTTTGAATTTTTTTCATATATTCAAACTTATATGAAAGAGACATTGTACACAATCATTGTTACTAAGCAGACCAGAGAACGAAAAGAGAGATGTCGACAAAAAAGAACAAGACTTTTTTTAATAGATGTTTGTATTCTTAATATAAATATACTGCCGACGAACAATAATAAGCAAATATTTTTACCTAACTCCTCAACAAGAAAAATTCATAGGAGAATATCTGTTTGATTAGTTTTCTTGCTTACAGTCTATTTGAATTAACAAAAAATGTCGATCATGAGCAATAAAGAATACAACGAACAAATGCGGTATGGGATACTTTTATTATTAATGTATAAAGTATAAGACTATTTTGTTTTTGTTTTTTTTTGTTGTAGAATATTGTCAAAGAAAACAAACGAGATAGTAAGATATTAACCATAATATTTATTGATAATTCTTTTTGATTTGAATATAGATAGATGAAGAGCTATGGAACAATTTTAACATTAATTTTCAGAGTGAAGCTTTAAAATTTCCAGATAATAAAATTTATGGAACAATCAATATCGAACCTGAGTCAGCTCGACAACTCATTGAAAAATTTATGGTAAATATCTTCTATATAAAAAATATAATTAATATGCTTATTTTCTTTCATATTAGTTATTCATTAATGGTCATAATCGTGGTGAATTTGATCGTTCTTATCAATCTATATCGATAACAGGTTTCGATATAAGTAAAGAAGAAGAGAATCTCATAAGAATCGAAATTCAAGCAATTCCTTACGATAAACAATGGACAACAACAAAAAAATCAAAACCTTGTGTATGTCTTATTTAATATGAAAAATAAATATAGTACACATATATATGTATTTTTAGTTCTTTGTATTTACTGGTCAAATTTTGACTTTAAGTTCAATTATACGTTTTCATTATGTTAAAGAAACTTCCACATTCAATGTTATTGTTAAGTGGTATCATATTGGTGATCATTATGCTCAAAAATATGTTATCCTCTTAGATGATAAAGAAATTCAATATGTAAGATTGTTAATTAAATTTTTTTGTATTCTACAATATATTGTGCGAATAAATTTTCTCGATGCATTTCTGTAAACAGAATGATCAGTGAATATTTAGATAGATGATAGTAGTTATATTCAATGTTATTACTTTTTTTTTTATTCATTGATTAGCGATAGTAATGCTGAAAGTTTTTGAAAATTTCTTAAAAAAATTTCTGTTCAATGAACTTTTTAGATGCAAAAGAAAAATAATAGTAGAGAACAAATATTAATAAAAAGATAGACAAAAAAAAAAATAACATTCTCGACATATGACTTTAGAAATATTAAATTTTTAAACTCTACTATGTATTTTTTTTTTTGACTCAAGTAGTATGGACTAAGTCGAATTAGTCGATTTCAATATAATGTTAAATGAATTTATAACCGAAAACAAATTTTAAACAAATATTATTGACTCTGATGTAGATCTAATTTTTATCTTCATCTACATCGTCACCCTCGAACAGACGAAGGATTTTATTGAATTAAATCCATTTGGTAATTGACCTAATTAATTTAAATAAAATATAACATTTATAGAACTGATCATTCAATTTACTCAGCGAAAACTGAAATTATCGCACAGTTGATCATCTTAAATTCCAAGTTGAAAGACTCATATTTCTTTTTTTTTTTTCGTACGTTTACTTTAAAGAGAAAATATTACTGTTAG